ATAAGGCCGGTAATCCGAAATCTATTGCGCGGCTTTGTATAAATTCACTAGGTCTGCCCCTACAAGCCTATACCATTTCCCAGAGACCCGCTAGGTAGTAGATCATAGCAATTGTCTTGAATTTGGTTGTGGGAATTATGCTTCTTGCTATCGTTGCGGTGAGTGAATCTGATCTCTCTCATATAGCAAGCTAACCGCCAATTAGCTTTCCTATCCAGTGAAACAGCCGGGCAAGCATCTGCATCATCGGGTATGAACATCTCGGACCTAGGTAAGCCATATGCTAATTTCAGGAGTCGCCGCGAGCACATTATTCCCATTCGAGATATGCAAGGGTCAGAGAGCCACATGGGTTTTCTAGTAGGTCCACTAGTCATACTTTTATCATATCTGTTGACCGAGTTACATAACGCTCTTTGGGACACGATCCAGCTTCTCAATTGTCGCGAAGTGAACACATTCGTCCCCGACACCGCCACCACGAGTAGCTGATTTCGAGTGATGCATAATGGATCAGCTAAGACTATAGAGGACTCCTGTCATGAAACTAGTTGGATTTACCTGCTTTAAAGGGCAGTAATTAGATAGACATTGAATCTCGACTAAAATCTTGCACGAAAAAGATTCCCCAGGATGCACCAACAGTTTAGGCCTGGATCGTCGAACCTCAAGAGGGCCCTTTGGCCAGCCACCCAGCTAGCCTCTACTCAGAGACGTCTAGCCTCTGCTTATCTGGCTTAGAATAATTAGAGTGGGATACTAGGAAAGAAAGCGTGCGTCTGGAGGAGAAAATATTTTCAATATTCTTAGTATCTAAAAGAGCTCAGAAAGATAAGTCGACTCCCAATTCAGCATAGAAAACAAAGCCAAGATCCATCAAACATTTGAAATGTTTAGTATCACTGCCTCTGAAAACATGTCAAAGACATACACCTTTACTCCAATGGAATCAGCCCCCTTTTGAAATACCATTCTGCTGTATGTACCAGGCCAGACGGTCCCAAATGCTATCCGGTCGGATCAGCGGCTCGATCGTGGAAGGCTTTTGTTCGATTAGCGGCGAATTCTGTCCCACAGCTTCATAATCGCGTGGTGTTTTCCGTCCTGTTGGTTTGGATTGCTGCTCCTATAATCTCTTCAGCGGTAAGGCCGAATCAACCCTAGAAAGTGGCCATCTTACGATTTTCGCACGACTAGGAGGTGCACTATCAGGATGGGAATGGTACGTGAATATCTGCCCGTCTGGCATTTCCATGATAAGCCAGCTTTTTATCGCATATAGAAGCCAAAATTCATTATGGCGGCGCAAGAGATTATTTCGACGTTTCCGCAACTGTTCTTTTTTAACGCGACTCAGAGAAGTAGCCATTGGGGAGTCGTTTTCTGTAGTTGACCATATGTCTTGACTCTGTCGTATTTATGTGTGGAGACTCCAGGTGCCAACAAATGTCTATTTGCGCTTGGGCCTTTTCTAAGTCCCCGTACCAGCATTAAAATGCCGGCCGATGAAACAACTTTCAACACACGTCAATCCTGTTGTTGTTGAAGCTTCAACGCCTCAACAGCTCTCACCTTCATGATGGCTTTCTTAACTGGAGGCACCTCAGATTAAACTTGCAGCTGGGCTTCTTGCGAGAATTTGCAGGCCGGAAGATTATCTTCTAGCACGTTGCCTGTTTCAAAGAATGTTGAGGAAGGCTAGATCCAACCGTCATTGAAGTCTAGTATAAATAGGCGATATTGATGGTTGTGCGGATGTGGCGGTAGACGGTTAGGTTCGTTCGCGTCCTTAAAAGGCTTGTCGCATCTCACTTCACACCGTGACGTTTTTCGCACATTTACAAGTTCACAAAATCTTGCACCACGTCGTCTGTGCGCAACTCGACCTATGTCAAACCTAACACTATGGACTGGGCCCCGTATTTCTCAATGCAGGCTGGTTGTGATGAAATTACTTTCTTGAGATTCCTTGTATGCGTGATGTGGAGGATGGCGGAAGACCCACTCTGCACCACCCGACCGACAGCCCAAGCACCCTTTCGAGTTTCGATCCCCGATAAATTTGAGCTGACCACGAATCATACCAGCATGTGGAATGGGAATACGTCTCTTCAAAGACAAGTTCCTGGTGTTACTTGGCCATATCCTCACAAAAGTCGATCAATTAGCTGGTCACGCTTTCTCAGAACGGGGAGGCAAGTAGCTCTGAGGCGACTGGCTCAGACGGTCCACCAAAGCTCCCTGCGATTCTTATCGATGGTTCTCTACGCAGACTCGTCGTCGGATTCGCATTTGAAATTAGATGACCCGAACAACACAGACGCAGTCAGGTCACATTTTAGCGATTCCATAAAACACAAACCACGTTCGGGCTTGGGATATACGGCGGTGTTACTGTTGTTCCGATATATATCTACTGCAGGGTTAAAAAATCCCCCAACCGGCACCCAAGTGCACATGCAACGACTGGTGCTTCACATCCTGCATCATATGAACAGCGATTATTTATTGCAGCCTCCTCCAACATCTTCCGAAAGAGATGACTCAAACTCAGGAATGAAAAAGTGTTAAGCGATAATTCATCGATATGTGTTCGTTCTCTTAATAGGCGGTTTCACAGAATGTTGCGAAGCCTTGACTGGATCGTGTACTTGCTTGCCATTGGCAACTGGGAGCTTCTTTGTGCATTCAGTGGGGCGATCCCGACTACTATCCGTCGAGACATGGAGTGGTAACTTACCGCCTGAACAGGGGTTATACTCAGTGACCCACTTTCTCGTATGTTTTGTATAGTAATTTGGTATCTTCGGCATTGCGGACGTCGTAACACCGCGTACCTTAGCCATACATGGGGTATTTCACCCCAGGACATTCGTTCTTTCTTCAATCAATCAACCTTTGCATCCAAGATTGGTTCCGCTTGCTCCTATCCTCGACCTCATTCGCCTATTAGGATTACTAGCCATTACTGTCGCAGCTTGCTCCGACACTATCCTATTAGGCCGTTTTTTGGCGGATTGTCCAATCTTTTTGGTTAGATTGGTAGGATAAAGCTTGACGATTTGCTTCAACTATACTGGAGAGTGACTTGCATAGCCACTTCTACACTTTCATATTTCCGTGGCCTACATTGGGGTGGTCACAGGCGGGTAGGAAGTGCCGTGGTGCACAGAGGCTTTCTTGCGATGCGCTTATGTTTAGGCCGTACTAAAGTATTTCAATTGAGTCCTACCGCTTTTGTGTTTTTTGAAGAAATGTGAAAAATTACCATACGACGGATTTCAAAAAACAGGCGCAACAGGCGTCGGATCGCCGATACCGGATTTCCACCGTGCTTGAATTTACCCATGCTTTTTGACTTCAAGTACATGCTGGTATAGTGAGGTCATCGATTCAAGAACATGTTAGGAATTGCTCTTGACTTTTGTGTCTAACATTTTTCACCTCACTATCAAGCCCCACCTAACCCCCTTCACTACAGTACAGGCCGACGTATATTCAAAAAGATCCATTCATAACCTCTCTGCGCGTGTTCATGCTCACCATAAATGTTCTTACGTATATACACGATCTATTCGGCAGAATCCCTCCGCGTTCATATTCCGGTAGCTTAAGACAAGAAGCCTACTGAAAGTATATCGTCACCTAGGGTGTGATACATGGTATACGTTGGCATTGAGATCTATCAGCACAAGCTAAAAGTGTATGGACTAGTATGCATATTTAGCGAATGAGATCCAGCGGAACCAATTCAAGATTAAAATGATTGATTGATAAAATGAGTGGCACGCAGAGGACATGTTAAATACACAACTGCAGAGTTAGTCCATAGTTGATATGTGGATGGGACTAATTCCTCCGTGTCTTAGAGGATCCATGGGATACTTGAGAGTGACTTGAAAGTGTTGTCTCGGAACCCCGTAATTACATACAAAACACCAAGAAAGGCGGGGGACGAAGGAAACCAATAGGAGGCAGCTGTAAGTAGCTGCTCCATGTTCTGACAAGATCATTCAGTTGCGACAGCCCGCCTGTCACCTTGGCGGCCATTTTGTCCTGTTGTGATTTTGAGGCTTGTGCAGATCCGGAACCAAGCCGCATCACCGGAATCAATTCTCGAGTACCTATATGTAGCGTTATATGACACTGGGGAACCGCGTCGAGATAGGCTAGTTAGTTTTGAGCGATCTGGTTGGCGGAGGCCGAAGTGTTGATCGTACCTCCAGCGCTTCTTCCTTCTCTCTCCTCTCCAACCTCACTGTCTTAGTATTCGCTGCGGGATGCGCTCTTATCCCGAAGAATAGGCTCATACCACCCGTTAGGTTGATTTACAATCAGCTTCATCCTCTACCGGGGCCCTTTTGAGAAAAGCAATCAGGCTTCCTTTTATATTTTACAACATATGTACTAAATCAAGTTATGAGCGCAATCTTCGGCCGTTGGATCCCCCGGGGCACTGATTCAAGACGACGGATCGGCTCTCGGGAAGCGTCTGCGACATCGAGCATCGGTCGGCTGAGAATTGTCCCGGCAGCTACAATGCAAGATTTTCAATCAACTGAAATCCAGCAAGCCTTTGTTGTGTGACAACTTCAATAACAAAGAACGGTTGAATATCTCGCTCCATTCCATCCACTTTAGATCAATAATGGGATGCGCTCTCCCAGTCGGGCCGAGCAGATAAAGCTTGTTTAATTTCTGCATAGTGACGAACTATCAGCTACGGGTATGCATCCGTATGAGAACTAGCGAATTGAGAGATAACGAGTGGATTGATTCTTCTTCCCTAAACATGAGCGGGGGGCTCTGTTGAAGTACCCCCATGGGATCAGCGACGGAGCAGACTTCACGTCCGTAACTCCGATGTTGTCAATATACCTGCGACTACATACAAAAGACCAAAGAAATGTGGGTACTCGATGAATAAGCATATTGCTAGTGGTAAAATACCACCCAAGTTCGACACACCCCCTCAGCGAGTGCCCACAGGTGGAAAGTGGCTACACCTCGCTGGCGGTCATCACGATATCTTCCATGCCTAGCTGGCGAACGAATTCCACGAACTTCTGCCGGGGAAGAAGCTTCGTAAGGCCGTCGGCCACCATATTCGCTGATGGTACCCATTCAACTGGTATCCGCTTATTTTGAACCTCTTGACGGAGCCAGTGATGGTGTATATCCACATGGCGAAGCTTCGTGCGCAGCTGGGGAGTCTCTTTCGTCAAAAGTCCAACGGTCTGCTGGTTATCGCAGCGCAGAGATAATGGTTGACCAGGTGAGAAACGGATAGTATGAAAGAGACGCGCCCACATGCAAAGTGACCTTCCTGCCTCCGATAGAGCGAGCAGCTCAGCTTCGGTAGTACTGGTAGTAACGGTCTTCTGCTTAGAGGCCTTCCAGTCAACCGGTCCTCCAAATAATAGGCAGATGTATCCCTCTGAGCTTTTCCGGTCGGGATTATCGCCGTATGATGCATCGCTAAAGAACTGCACTGCTTGCGTCTCTTCCCCTGGTGTAGGCGTTTTGAAGCAGATCGCTCGGTTCTTCGTCTGGTAGAGGTATGCGATGAGACGGTTGATACCGTGGATGTGGGAAGGTGAGGGATTTGACAGGAACTGAGCTAGCGCCGCGGTGGATTTGGCAGAATCTACCCTGGTGATGGTAGTGGCGTACTGTGCAGATCCGACCTTCTCACTGAACTCGTGTATCTGGCCATCGGTGGCGGTTCCATCGAAATATTCCAGGGTCGTCGCCGGTAGAGGGGTCTCGTAACGTCTCTCGCTAGTGAGATGGTACCGGTTAGCCATAGTAGTGATGTACGTATCTTGACATAACCAGAGAGCGCCCTTTTGACGATTCCTGACGATTCGAATACCCAGAAACCACTGAGCTTCGCCCATTTCCCTGAGTTCCCAGGCCAGTCGGAGCTGTTGACAGATTTGACTAGCTTTCTGGCGTTGACTAGGGTGGCTGACAACGATGATATCGTCCACGTAGAAGAAAACGATAACTCCATCGGTGGCAAAGAGACAGAGATCTTCCTGAACGACTGTGAGACCAAGAGACGTGAGTATCCGCGAGGCCTCTCGCTGCCAGAGGCGTGGAGACTTCCGCAGACCGTACAGTGCTCGGAGGAGCTTCCAGCACCTCATCTTCCTATTACCAGAGAATAGTCCAGGAGGCAGTTCCACATAGACTTCTTCGTCAAGCAGGCTGTTCAGAAATGCGTTAACAGCATCAAACTGAGCCGTATCAAGATCAAAAGCGGCAACGAGGGCGAAGATAGCTCGAGCCGTGCGAACTGCTAAGGTAGCGGAATACTTCTCTTCGGCGGTGATGGCCTGGAGATCTCCGCGCACGCAGATTCTTGCTTTGTATTTGATCATGAATCCATCGCTGTCGAATTTGTACGTGAACACCCATTTCAGCGGCAAGACCTGGACGCCACGGTCAGTTGGTCGCTGCACTTCTTGGTAGGTGCCCTTTCTTTCCAGTGTTTTAACCTCCTCATGCGCTGCATTGACGAATCCATCGCGGTGAGGGTGTTTCATCAGCTCATACCAGTTCTCTGGCTCTGGGGGTAAGTCGTCTCGGTGAGGTCTTCGGTACTGCTGTGGAGGATTTAGGCCTGTTGCGAACGCTGCTAACGCGCCATAATGGTGTTCTTCAGGTGCTTCGAGCGATACGAACTGCGCAATGTCCTCACGGCCTCTTCTCCTCTTGCCGGTGACGATGTTCCCTTTCGAGATCGACGAACTGATATCTCTAGGCGCAAGGGCACCGATCGGGCGATACCCTTCAATCTCTGTGGTCTGAGAGGTCTCCAGCTCTTGTTGCAACTGTGTAGCCGGGTCTAGTGCTACAGAGGTCGCTAGATCTGTTGCTGTTAACCTTGGCGTTTCTCTTAACGCCGGTGTAGGCGTGACATCATGAGGGAACGCTCCAGGTGGTTGAATTGATGCAGTCGATCTCCCTACTGCCGGAGGGGGTAGAGGGACGCCCACCGAAGGCGTCGGCGAGGGTGTTATCGGTTGATCCGCCTGCGGGCGTGAGGAAACTGCTTCCTGTGGTTTCCCTGCTCCTGCCGCAGTGCTCCTGTCCGCTAACTCCTGCTGAGGCTGCTGAATGCCTCCTTGCTGCTGTGGTGGGAGCTCTTCAAGTCCCATTTGTATAGAGAATGGCTGGTAAGTCTCCTCATCATCATCCCCAATTGACCATGGCATAGCTTCGATCACATCTCTAACTGGCGGTGCTTCGAGGTCTTTTGGGTCGAAGCGAGCGTTCTCATCGAATACAACGTCGCGAACGTCTCTGACAGCACCTCTCTGTGGAAACCACACCCTCCAAATATTTGAAGCGGTATAACCGACAAGATAACCGATCTCTGCGCGTTCTTGCATCTTCTCGGTTCGCGGTAGCCCGTAACGACGCACATACGCCTTACAACCGTATACCCGGAGGTTAGCGAGGTTTGGGCGAGGTTTTGGCTTGCTCTCATCGATCTCCGAGGCCTCCGACCAAGGGATGATCCACCGACCGTCTGGCAGCTTCGTGGGCGATCTGTTAATGATATAAACCGCCGCTTTCATCGCTTCTGGCCAGAGATTCTTCGGTAAGCCCGCATCTGTCAGGAAAGCTCTTGCCACACCGATAATCACCCCCCAGCTCGCTCAGCGAAGCTGTTTTGCTCAGGGGTATCAACGACGATGAATTCAACGACGAATCCCATCGATCTGCAGTAGTCCCAGACCGTTTCGCCAGCGGATCGCTCGTTGTCGGTATGAAACGCCCTGAGGGGCATCTTGAGGTGATTTATCAGGTATGCAACGAAGTACTTGATCGCTTGCTGACAGCCATTTTTCTTCCGATGTGACGCTGCTAGATGAAGCCGAATCCCTTCGACGTAGAGGTGCGATACCCATCGATCACCGTTGAACGCTTCATCCATCTCAATCAGGTCAAAATGAACCTTGCCGAACTTGCCATATATATGGGTACGACCAGCTGGACGACGAGAGATCTGCTTCCTGGCTCTTGCTAGCTGACAGGGTTCACACTTCTCTGGATTGCTCTCAGCGTTTTCCTCAGTTCTTCCCTTGATATCAATGCCATCAACCATCTCTGCGAGGCGCTCAACACGCTGGTCGTACATGTGTCCGAGTCTTCGATGCCACCGCGCCGGTGTTGCAGTTGATACTAGGGGTTTCGCAGACGGTTTGAGAGAGGGAAAGGCCAGTGCAGAGGCCTTACTGTACTCCAAGAGATATAGGCCATAGAGTTCTGCGCAATGCGCTATTGCCTTTCTGCGGTAAGTGATCGCGGGGATCTCGCTGTTGAAGAAGTACCCATTCTTCTTGATTTCCGAGACACTCAGGATATTCGTGTGGAAGTCTGGGGCATACAGCACATTGGATATTTTGGTAACCGATTGCTTTCCATTCCAAGGATTCCTTACTGTGAGTCTCGCCGAACCAACGCCCTCAATCGAGGATTCGCCGTCGCCAGTGGATATCTTGAAGTGATCGTTTTCCAGGAAGTCAAAACGGTCACGTCGGTTACAGATATGAACGTTCGCTCCTGAATCAACTATCCAGGCATTTTTCAGCGGATACAGCGAAGCAGCGTGATACACATACGGTGAGATATTCACGGATAACATAGCCATATTGATGTGTGGGAAGTCTTCTTCATCTGCTGCAGCGAACTGAACGGCTTTCGCCTGTGTCGGTGATGTCGTCGTTAACTGCGTTGACGAGGGCATTAGGGCAGTTTCGGTTGATCCCCGTAGCTTCTTGATCTCTTCTTGATCAGACGGGCTCATCATCTTGATGAAACGGTCCATATTCCTCTCGATGCGACCCTCTGGCTTCCAACCCTCTGGTCTCCTTGATTTGACGAAATAAGGGCACTCCGAGAAGTGGTGCTCCTTCCCTCCACAGGGGCATCTCTTGCGGTATTCATCTCTTGAAGGGTTTTGACCAGACTGCCCAGGTTTTCGACCGAAGAGCGTCGTATTCGCATACATAGCAAGTGCACTGCTTCCACCTTTCTTGGATTCGCTAAGCTCCTCATGCCTTCTCCGATACTCCTCGATAACGTGCAGGAAGGTAGGAGTCTCGAGCTTGACCTGCCTCATCCAAGTGGAGTAGAAGAACTCATCGAGTGTTCTCGTCGACCTGAGGAAATCTCGGATAGGGTCTTTTGGTCGATATACCACGTCAGGGACGTCAGCTGCCTTACATTCATCATATAGATTCGTCCAGCTGTCAAGCCACTGATCGATAACAGTGCTTCGCGGCTTGTATCGGATCATCTCTCTCCATGCCTGGCGAAGTTCTTCTCTCCGTGTATCTTCCTCTGGTGCGAAGTTCTCCTTCAGTTTCAGAAGCTTCTCCCTCGGAGTACGGCAACCAACCAGGCGAGAGTGATGCTCTGTGGCGACACTGCTGGTGATCTTATCGTTGAGTCGGTTCAGGCCTTTCCATGCCTCTTTCCAAATGGGCCGATGCAAGGTCCACTGGGTAGTGTATCGGTTGAATCTCTTGTACTCCTCATCGGTAAGTTCTGCGATATCCGAGACGTCGGGGTTGACCATCTCAGGAGTAGGAGGGTCCTCTATATTTGGCAGTGTTTTAACCTCGTCGTCTGATAGGTCCGGGTCCATGTACTGCCAAACTCCCTCCGAGACCGCTGCCGATTTGATATAATCGATCCATACCCTCCACTGTGGCTTTGACCGAAGACGCTGGTCCCATGGGACACTATCCGATCCTTTGCCTTGCTTGTCGTTTGACATCTTCGCATATAACTTTGTATGGGTTCTTGTGGCTTCTCAAGTCGTGTTGAGGCGGGAAACGTGTAGTCTGGGCTCTCTTGCTCGCGTGGAGCCTCAGGGATTCGTTTCGAGCTCGTGCGACCGACCGCGTGGCGGAACAAGAACGATCAGGGGTATATGAAAGCCTCTCACTGGCAAGATACAGAGCTTTCGTGCGGTAAGGTGTATCTTGTGGTTCTACCAGTGTGCATTCGGGCTCATAACTGACGAACTATCAGCTACGGGTATGCATCCGTATGAGAACTAGCGAATTGAGAGATAACGAGTGGATTGATTCTTCTTCCCTAAACATGAGCGGGGGGCTCTGTTGAAGTACCCCCATGGGATCAGCGACGGAGCAGACTTCACGTCCGTAACTCCGATGTTGTCAATATACCTGCGACTACATACAAAAGACCAAAGAAATGTGGGTACTCGATGAATAAGCATATTGCTAGTGGTAAAATACCACCCAAGTTCGACACATAGTTCTAGACAAAGTTAAACGAGGCTATCTTCATAACATGAGACAATCCTGCTTCCTAAAGCAATCTATAAATGAACCATATTCTCAAATTGACAAGCTTCTAACAGTCAATTTTCACTCGTTATATCCTCGCATTCAGGAACTGGCTCTCGGTCTGTACTGTATGCTCACCAAACGCCGACCCCCTTTTACTGAGGAAGCTAATTGCTTCAAATTTACTGCGAGCTGAGCAAACGTAGCCAGCACATAAGACTATAAATATCTAAATATCATCTGTGTAACCACCCCTGCTTGAGAACTTATCTAAGTTAAGCCCAGAGACATCAGAACGACCAGCAAAGCCTAACGTGATAACCTGCCGCTACAGTAGTCTGGGAGATCTGTAAACGATGAAGCTCCCTGGTCAAAGACTTGACCAAGCGGTCTCATCCCTGGCACTGTCCCTGTCGACTGCTTCTCTAATATGCCTAATTGTCGTCTTTATCGCGTGCACCTCTCCCTCTGCCCCGGAATCCCTATACTTTTTGAAGGCAAGCAAACTTCCTCCTGCCAAAGTTTACAATAGGCTGACCAGCCCAGGTGAATACGACCGGATTTCCACAATTGAAACACGCCACAAACTTCGTCCGGCATGATATTGATGTGAGACCAAAAGCCGAAATCCCAGACGAGGTTATCAGTCACAACAATGTCATGGGCGGCGCGGTTAACAACGCAGCTGCCGCCGCCGAAGGTGCATCCACAACCACGACTGCTGCCATACATGATGCAGATGACAAGATGAAAGAAGAGGCTCAGAAGTTGTCCTCTCAGTTGTTCCAATACTACTCCGTGGGTCTTTGGGGCTATTGCATGAAGCGAGAAGGGTCCAAAATACAATGTTCACATCCAAGCACAGCTTTCACGTTCGACTTTTCAACTATTTTTGGTCCTCTTATGACGGATGTACGCAGACTCATGCCCACGGTCGACTGGGGACGGGTTTCAGGCTACCATCGACTATCACGAACGATCGTTTGGCTGTATATCACAGCACTTGTCACAAACGCACTCACAGCCCTCGTTGCTTGTCGCAAAGCTTATTCTTTGAAAGGAGGAAGACTTCTTGCCGTCATTAGCTTCGTAGGTGTTCCTCTAATGACTTGTTTGACCCCTACTAATTGACTCAGGTTTCTTCGTTATTTATCTTAGCAGCCACAGTGGGCTCGTCCATTCTTTACGCTCTTATCGTAGCGTGTGCTAAGATGACGGTGGCGGATATTGGTGTACAGATATCTATTGGAACACAGAATTATGTGGCCACATGGCTAGCAACTGCTTTCTCTCTTGGGGCCCTTGTCATTTGGCTGATCCAGCTATACTGCTGTTGTATTTGAGCACCCAATGCCCCTGTCGAATACTATTTGTGGGATCTGATCTTTTCTACGTCACAGAACGGTTGTTTTTCTGCACTTTGTTCTCAAACAAGAAAAGTCGCCCTGCGATTCCAATGATCAGTACTACCGAGCGCGAGCATTACATAACTGGTTGCTCTTTTGAGGCAATAGTACAGGAGAAGAATGTACATAGAAGCGTAAATAATGTCCAACCGCGCTAGTTTGCACGTTTCTGTCGGCGGTCTCGGTCGTCTCCTGATCGCCCAGTTTGAGATTCAGACGGATCACACATTTTTGCCATTGATCCGAATGCATCACAGGCGGAAAGAGATAGACGCTTTCGGCAAAGATCTTCACATTCTCGTTGGGCTTAACAGGCATCTCGCACTAAAACACAAACTGTATTTCTCAAATCTGCCAGGCGCTCATGAACATTTGACGAAGAGTGATAATAGCCGTCGTAGAGTTCTTTCAAGTTGTTGACGGTCTGTTGCGTGGCATCTTGAAGATGTTTAAAGAGCGCGTAGCATTCACGGTAGTATATATTTTCCGTCTGTTGCCGTCCCATTCTCCGCACGATTTCTTCAATATCTTCCATCGTGTCGGGTTGATCAACTGAGGAGAATCAGTCTTACGGATTCCTGACATATCAAATGTGCCATAGATGACCCTGAATACATAGTTGTCGCCCAGAAGGGGCGCCATACAACAATATCTCATGTAGTTGAGCAACAGTGTAGGTAATAAAACTGTTTAACTAGTTACGTATCTCAGAGAGATTGCTTATTTCACCAATCCAACGTTGATGTGGATTCAAAAGTTGCGGTCCGCAGTCTCATCTTTTCCTCTGTCAATATACCAGAGGCCTACCAAATTCTTCTATAAATCTGGGCGATTTAACTTCTGATCTCGATCAAAGGCCACTCCTTCCTGTCATTACTCTTTCCACCATAAAAACTTTCGACGTACAGAACCTCTTTGATTCTGCTTTAGCTTGTATGCTAAGCATTTTCACTTTGGGCTATTTTTCCATATTCCTGTGTCAATTCATTATTTTTCGCTTTCCTACCAGTCAAGAATCCATCCCAATAGCGCTATCAATGATTGCATTTGGCAGTGGCGTCATGCTCTAGAGCTTGTGTGTTTTCTGTCACCGAGCGTTTAACCTATTTAACGTTCGCACAGCTCAAGAACAAAAGAACATCACATGGTGTGGCCTATTATTTCTCGTCTGGACAGCAGCTCTTCCCACCATTGTGATTTTATTGCCCGCACAGCCTCTTCTGCAGTTGGGATATATGATTATTTTCACCATAATGGCTCTCGGGAATTTGCCAGAGTACGCAGCCACAGAGGAGATAGCCACCGAAATCCCCCCAAATCGATTGCCGTTTCACATAGTCTGCGTCGTTCTATTTGCATTAGTTCCAACAATGCACGCGCTTGCAGAGCCCGTGACCGAGAGCTCGTCTTTAGCCACCGCTTTTGGGCGTTTCGTGCTCAGTAACACGTTGGGCGCTGCTGTCTACCTCTTGGAACCTTTCGAGAGAATTATTGCTACGCCAAACTCGAACCCAAGTCTTCATATCATGCATTTGATTCTCGTGTTCAGTCTCGTTTCATATTCGAGGGTGGTGTTCGATGAAATGGCGTCGCGAATGTCTTGAGCAATGATTTTATTAGCCACAGCAGACTCAATGGTCCACATACTGGTTAGGAGAAATTGGTTTCCACTACAGGGCAATTAAAAAGAGGCATTGTTTAGGGGAGGCTCAAAATGGGTGAAAACAAAGGTGATCCTGATTTAGCTATATTTGTCACGTTCTATTGAAAGTTTTCTCTGAATGTCACCTGTTGAGAAGTATGTCATTTGGATAAGTATCATTCTTCTATCCAACTCGACTAGTTCTAGATAAATTGTCTGAGGAACTTCATCTTTCCTACTGTTTTAGGCCATTTTGCGTGGCCAAAGAATGGCCAGCTAGTTCAAGTAACTCACTTCTCTATTACACACATCATGATACGAGAAGATTTATAATTGCATATTTTACTTTATTGGAGACTTCGCCAACAAATAAAGCAGAGCATATCTGAACTTCAAGTAATAAAATCATTTAGATAGAAATAAAAGACTATGTCGAACTTTTGCGAACAATGACCCCCCTCCCCCAGCCATACACCACCTTAAACTCGGATTAAGCAGATTCTCCATAACGATGACCCGACGACTTGCTTCTCCCAGCATGTTCTTCCTTCGACCAGCTATGATTCGGTCCCATATCCAGATCAAAAATCCGTGCAGATCCCCGAAAGTGCACTTGAACTGCATTTCGAACAGCCACATTAGTATCTGGACCAGCACAGACTATTCAATTGTTAACCAACCGAGTAAATCGCAAAGTGCATAGCAAGTTACACACCTATGACTGCTATCTTTCCACGCTGCTGGTCAACATACCGCCTCATTTCTATCTCAAAGTCCACTGCACCAGTATATATCCATAATCGTTTTCCTATTCGTCGACATTAACTAGACGGGCTCTCGAAGCTGGGCTTTTCGCAAAAAATTCGAAATTGCAGAATCTTCGTAGGCTTTCGTTAGTAGTGAACCCAAGGTCTGTGTCTAGGCCTACTTACATCAAAATAATCCCGGTCGGTATCAAACATCCGCTGCCTCCACTGCTTATACCATTCGGGATTATCTATTCAAATTGTGAGTTCTCCCATAAAACTCTCGTCAACTTCGCCTGACTTACGAAAAGGTCTCTCACGTTTCCAAAGAACTTCAACCCGACGCACCATAGCTCTTCTTTGGCAACTTACGCGAAGAAGCATCTCAATGTAGGGGAGTGCTCGGAAAAGACCAATGTCTTCCAAGGCGAAGATGATTGTTCCATAACAGGACAGCTTAAGTGAGCGTCCGTACGGCCCAAAGACCGCGACAGGTTGCCTCCGAAAAGCCTTTTGTGTCCGCTGCAGCCGGTAAAGATAGTAAAGGGCTCGGTTGAGCTTGCGTTGGGGTCGAACGATCATATGGATGTTCCACTTTTCTTTTAGACCTTCGAATTCGCAAACAGAGACATAACACAGGACATACTAGGTAAGCGCTCGCCATCCGG